TTCTATAACCAATTTACCAAGCTTGGCAAGAAAAGCCCAAATTAATTAAATAAGTTGTTGTTGGTAAATTTAATTTTTCGCCGCGGCAACACTCTGTACATAATATGTATGTATTTGCACCTATCTATCGCTCGTTCGATAGAAAAGCGGCATATTCCGATAATAAAACCGAGCTAAATTATGTTTTGAAAATACATTTACAACGATATCTGCCCATTGTTGCTCGCAATATTCCTACTATTTTATACTTTGCTTAGTAACTAAATACATATGTATAGCCACAAAACAATTACTTCTTGACCCACATAGTATGTAAGTAAAAACCCAAATTAAAGTTTGATGTTTGCTTCATAATTAGGATTAAGTTTTCTGCGAAACGTTCATAATATTTTCAAAGTCACTTTGTGCTACAATTTCATGGTCCTTTTCGGGGGGCGGAATGATTGCAATTCAGCATGAAACTCCAAAATCCTTCTGCATATCTACTCAGCAAACATTTTTTTATGGCCGTAGTAAGTTTGCAATTTTTTGGCTAGATGGTTTTAAAATAAGGGGAAAAAAGGATAAAATTTATATCGGAGCAAAATATATCTATAATTTGGATACGCACCGTAAAATTTCAGAGTGAACAAAGTTATAGTGCGCTCTGGTATAAAAGTACATAATATTCGAAAACACAAACAATTCCTTCGCCCGAACAAGTCCAGTTTCTATTAGTTCGAATTATCTCGAGTGCACTGTATATTCAATTATTAGGGCTTCAAACACTGTATAACACCTGCTCAAGTTTCGTTATGAATTTCAAATATTTATTAGCTCTCGCCTCTGTTCCGCAAGAAAAAGTAAATTATGCATTCGGTCTAAAACCGGAATATAATTCCGAAATACAAACGTTATTGAGCTATTTTGAGGTAACACATCGGATCGCCACTTCGCGGAACATAGCAACGTGGAAAGAAGGCGTTATATCCCATCGAATTATGAAATATGTACAATCAGGCAGGTTTGCTTTGAATTCAAATTGGCAGGGGATGAAATTCACTCGGAATTACATAAAATAAAAAATTTACAGGAATTAACATAAGGGCCATTCCAGCGAAGACGCCATCTCTGGTAAAAAAAAAACTAAATTACATAAACTCTGTTTTAATATGTTAAAACAGTAAAGAAGGTAGAATATTTAATTCTTTAGAAATAGGTTTTTATCGATTTATTTTTCACTAAATGCATATACAATATGCTGTAATATTTTTGCAACAAGTTTTCAAGGCATTCCTCATGTACTAAAGGCGGCAAGGCACAGAATAATTATTTGAAAAGCAAGAACAATTTATGAACTTTAAAATGGTGGTAAATTATTAGAAAAATACAGTTATGGTGAGAAGTTATAAGCGTTCAAAAAATGCTTATTGGATGTCGCACCCGTCACAGCAAAATATGTATTTTTTAACGGAACATACAAATTCTTAAGTTTCCCCTTGTTCAAATGAGGTCCCCTTATTCAAAATATGATAAAATTCTCATCAACCCAGTAGCGTTCATTTTACTCATGAACTATATTTCCTCAATAGTTACTCACCCCACTCGTCTCAAACTATTGTCCCACCGGTTACAAGCTTAAATAGTTTTTTTTTTTTAATTTTCAAATATAATAATGCCATCAAAGCATAACATGGTCCTCAACGTTCTATTGGCTACATTCGAGAAAGCCGCTATGAACGAAATATTTATAGTTTGTCTCAAATTGGGAAACGAATCCAACAACTCACATAGGCGGGTGTTATCGTTGTGTCACCCGTTACGCTCGGAAGATGTTAAATTTCTATGTAAGTTATATAATTAAATTCTATACTTTATCAGCTTCGTATTAAACTGATATCTGACTTCAAGTGTTAACAGTTTGACACTTGTCAAATCAATAGTTAAAGAAAATTTACTGAAAGCTTGAGCAAAAACGAGTTAAAATGTCTCACCCGTCACTTTGGAATGCCCCAAAAACAAAAATTCAGCTATTTTTAGCTGGAGGTGAGCCAAATCGAACGCGCAAGAAAAAAGTTAAAGATTTTGATCAGCGTTTAATCAGTATTGTAAACTCATTCGAAAAAGACAAATGCGAAAGCGAATTAATTAATTTCCTACACGCCATTGCACAAAATATAAAATTCTAAATCGTATTGTTTTTTCTAGTAAATACCTACATAGATGCATAATTCATTATTATTAATTTTTTTTATGTACATATCTTCAAAGTAAATAAACGTTTCTGAATTTTTTATTCTGATTCTTTTGTTTCCGAATTTTTCATTTTAATTTTTTTATGAAAAGTATTTTCTAAATTTTTCATTCTCGTTATTTCGTTTCTAAAAATTACTTTCTGAAAAACAGAATTTCTGATTTACATATTTCTTCTGAATTCATGGGGAGTATTTGTTGCCTTGCGAGTCGCCTCTTCAATTGATTTAAGGTTTTTCAGTTTAGGGATATTTGGTATTCTTGTTTCAAGGACACTTCTCCCAGTCCGCCTTTTGAGGGCATCGCCATGGTAAATTCGCCAGTTTTTTGCATGCAAAAGAAATTTATTGTGAACCAGTACTGGGTCTAAATGTACTAGAAGCGCATAAGTTCAGAACTAGAGATTTTCGCCACAGAGTGCTAAGTGGTATAATAAATACACTCGCAACAACAATCACCAGCATAGAACGGCAGATACGTACATAATTAATACACATACATGTTTATTTAATTACACGGGTTCTAAGGGAAAAACGTAACTGGCAGTAATAACACGGTGCCACAAAAAATCACGAAATACACCCGAAACAAAGCTTAGTGAAGGTTATGTGTAGGGTCGAGTACATTATGAAAATGGGTTTCTTATAGTACCTGAGCCCTCCATTCTTATTTTATTTAAAAATCCCTCTATTTTCGTACTTGATTCCGCGCGCTCCACCATGTAAAAAAACTCAAAGCTAGCTATATTTTAGGGGGATTGGTGTTTGCCCTATTTCAAAAATTTACAATACAGTGATTAAGGCGGCTAAGCGCTATGTGTATACCACATTTGGTCCCCGCCCATTTTCCTACAGTTTTATAAAAAAAAAATTCGCCAAAGAGCCATTGTATATCAATGCCTGAGTGGGAATGTTATGCATAAATGATTTGCCAAATTGTTTTAAATTCGCTAAAACTTTTATGTTCGCATATGGGTTTAACTTCTTTCTGTTGTACGTAATCTTTCATTTTGTCATAATCTTCAGCTGGATCGGAATGCATTTGCGTATATCTTAATAAAAATTAATGCAAGAAAGTCTAGTAATATCATCGTAGAAACAATTCTATGATATCACGAAGCTCCGAAAATAAATACTTACTTGGGCTACCGTTTGCAAAGCGCATCAAAGTTATTTTGTATGACTGGCTGTATAATAAACAAATTTAATAATAAATAATTTTTGTGGTGGACAACATATTTACCGGTCCTTAATTTCACAGAAGACATTGGTCGCTTGTTTTGCAAATATTAAGATGCATGAAATTCAATTTTCTTGGTTGCTCAAATCGAAGAAAAATTTTCTTTCAATTTTGTAAATTAGTTTTTTTTTACAAAAACATGATTTTTCAGTATTAGGCAAGGCACATTAAACAGGTAGTATCAGTAGAGCAAAAACAACATTTGCGTGTATTTTGTTGTTGCTTCTGGTATCGAAAGTGTCAAAAACTGTTCTGAATTTTTTCTTCTAAATCAAAGCGTGCCATGTGAAATACAAAAAATTATAAAAAATAAAAAATTGAAATTGGAAAAAATAAAAATTGATGCAACTTTCTTTCCTAGTATATTTGTTTGCTTCTCGAAGCATTGATCCATCCTTTGCAAGGCCCAGTAATCAGCGGTCATGCTGCCGAGTTGGGCGAACGTTCCAAAAGCTGCTATTCAATCGCTTGTTTTGTATGGAAAAAGGTTTCACATGCAAATGGATTTTAACAACTTATAATTTTCGTGAGAAAAAATTAAAAATATTTGACATTTTCGAGACCAAATAATTTGAAAATAAATCAAATCAGCTGCTCTACTGATACTACCTGTTCAATGTACCTTGGGTGTAATAGCATGAAATGTCACAATCTGCTTAATAACAAAAACCTGCGCATCCAGGGAAAGTATAATAACGGACTTAACTATTAGGGGATTCCCTTAAACGCGAAGAGCAGAAAACTCGAAAACCTCGAAAGTTGTCGAGGCTGTTTTTGGGAATGCACCTTTTTTCAGCCTCGTAAACAATGGAGAAATTCCGAAGTTTGACAGCTCATTCAGAGTTTTTTGTATAATACATCGCATCAGCTGAAATAAATACATATAAAATCAGCATTGAAAATGCCACGAAAAAGTGAAAAATGTAAATTGTATGAAGTTCGTAAAATATTCGGATATAAAGGCAACACTGAAACTTACGAACGACTTTTCGAGGCTTTTTTCGCGACTAAGTTTTGACAGTTGTTTTTCGAGGCTGGAAAAGTTTCGAGGTTTCGTGGTTTTCGAGCCACTTTCGAGCTTAAGGGAATCCCCTATATGTAAATTAGCTATCGATAGTTTTGCATAATACGAGAGAGCCATGCCTCAACTAAAATTGGAATGGAGAACAATCCCTAATTAAATAAACAACTACAGATTTTTTCAATCTACAAGTATTTATTTTCACCACAAATACTTACATATCGACTGCTGAGTGGAAGATCGACCTATCTCGGCAGCCAGTTCGAAAACGCCCTATCTCAAAAAACTTTTCTAGAACGACCTATTTCAGAATTTTATTGAAAAACACCCTATCCCAGAATTCGGTTCAAAAACGCCCTATCAATGTGCTGATGTAGGGCGTTTTTGAAACGAATTCTGAAAGTTTTTTGAGATAGAGCGATAGGTCAATCTTCCACTCAGCAGTCGATATGTACATATACATGATACAAATATTTAAATATTTAAATCTAGCAAAAGATGTATATATAAACATATATATGTAAATACATATGTATGTATGTTTCAAGCGCTCATTTTATGAAGATTACATAGTAAAATCACGTCGACCACGATCAGAAAATGGATCACTGTGTTTGCTCAAATCTGTAGATCTTGTGCAATTGCCACTGGACAAGGTTACGTCAGATAAGGTGCTTATTGTTGGAGATTTAATACTTTCACTTTCAGTTCTATATCTTCTGCATGATGGAATCGCTGATGAACGGCCCCGGCCCGGACGCAGATGGCCTTGACTCAGCTCTTTGAAACTTTGCTTTTTATATGATATATAAGCTTTCAATTTCTCAATTCGCTTCGTTTCGTGCGCTAATTTATCATCCAAATGTGTATAGATCCTTAGCATACCTTTCAGTTTCCTCGTCTCTTCTTGAACTTGAAGTGGCATAAAATTTACCCAATAATGAGCGTTCAATGCGTCCTGCGATATTTGGAATTGTAGTATCTTTTGGAACTTACGAAATGCTTTCTCCGGTCGATCGAAATATTCTGCCATTGCTTTGGGCATATTGGCGTCGATAGCTTTGGCGTCGTAGAGCGCGTTGCAGACATGGCATTGCCTGTTTGGCAAGCATTCTTGGCAAAAGATGTGACTACATTTGGCTATAAAGAACCTGTTTGGATTCTCTACAGTTTTTGGCCGAAAGCATCTGTTGCAATTAACCATAAACATTATGCAATTTGATAGTAGCTCTCCTTATATTTTATTTAAATGAATTTAGAAGAGGCAAACGCGAAACACAGGAAACGTATGAAAACCCGTTGCAAGTCAAACTGCTATGTTTTGTTTTTATAAATACCGCATAACACTACCAGACGTTTGATATTGAACACCTTAGGCCTTCAGCACATTGGTCGTCAATTATGATGGAATGTTTGTGTTACTACGTTTACGGGTAAGCAAATTCACGACATCATCATGGAATGTTTGTGTTACTGCGTTTATGTGTAGGCTAATTCACGAAATCATTTCATGAATTTGGATTAAAATTATCTGTTTAAACACAATTTCCTGAATTTAATTATCCACGAAAATTAACCATGAATTTCGGCACCATTTCATTAAATCATGAACTACAAGTCCGTCAACGCCATGTAACAGCTGTTTACTAGGAATATGAAGTTTTAGATACAAAAGCATGTATGTGCCTAACCATGATTTAAAAAACAAATAAATTTATATAGATGAAATTCAAATACAAATGTAAATATAGCAAGGACCATTTCCTGAGACGGCTTTTTCAAATTTAAACAAAGGCCAAAATAACCGTAACCCTAATCTTTAGTTTCTTGCTATTGCGCTGACACTTCTTCAAAAACCTTAATTTAATTTTTGAAATCAGTAAATAAGGAATTCATTCCCTTTTTCACTACTTAGTACCTATAAAGCGTAAACAAAGAATGCCTGCACAACGGTTAGACGGTTATAATTTTTCGGTACCGATTCTCATCGACAGAATTGCACAAGTGCGCGGAAGCCTTAAGGCCGTACTTTATTTTGGATCTGGCAGCACCGTCAGTCGAGCAAAAGATGTATCAAAACAGAAACGAAAATTGAGAAACGTCCAAATAGTTCCACCCTTTACTTCCGGTAGTGCATTTAAACTATTTTGCGCTATGCTGCCAACTGATGAATATTTGCAATTTTGCAGAAATATTTCATTGGGGTATTCACAGCGGTGCCGTAAGTGCCGTATTGTTGTATGTCGTAAACTTTAAACGTCTAAAAAATATATAGAGGGGTTCGCAAAGTGCCATCAAAGTCATATTTGGGGTATTAACAACGGTGTCGTAAGTGCCGTATTGTTGTATGTCGTGAACTTTACACGCCTAAAAAATATGTTAAGGGGTTCGCAAAGTACCATCAAAGTCATATAATATATATATATATATATAATATATATAATGAATGTTTGCAGTGTTCAAAAATAGTTGGTTGTCGTTTCAAAGTTCTCTAAACATTTATTTAAGCTTTTAAAGTTTATGACATATAACGATATGACACTTACGACACCGTTGTGAATCCCTCAATTATGAATTTTTGCACTGTTAAAAAATAGCTGGTTGCCGTTTCAAGCATGATAAAAATATAGTAAGGTAGCATGGTGGAATAATAACAAGGCGTTGTCAGTAGCGACGTGTTTGTTGTGATTTTGACAACATCGGCATGCTTATTTTCAGTGCTGCCGATCTTAATTTTTATACTACTATTCGTTGCGAAATAGTATCTAAAATACTCCATTTTAGTAATTCGTTTTATCGCAATTTTTAAAGAACTTTGTGTTTTCAGAACAATATTAATATTTAAAATTGCTGGATTTGTATAATTTTTGTACTCAAAAAGTAGAAAAATAAAAGATATCGTGGTTATCAATGGAGAAAAACTTTCACAAAAATAGTATGGAAAGGCGATTTTTTATATTAAATAACTTTTGCTGCATTGTCATAATATTGAGCCAAATGAACTACTGATACACTAGAATAGAGTGGTTGCATGGTTAAATTAGGAATTCGCTTATAGTTATTATCGATATTTATGTGTTTTAATCTATTTAGAATATCATTTACAGTCTAATAGGAAATTGCCTTATTTTACGGCTTTTACTTTTTTAAAGTTACAATATATGTCCAATCTGTGTGGAGCTGCCGATACAAACATATATTCAGGCTTATAAGCCTGTAATTATACATTTTTCTACATTTAATTTGAAGTAGTATGCACCAACGGATTAAAAGTAGTAAATAATTAGTACCTTTTGTAGTACTTTAAAATGCGTGACCGGAATAGACCTGCCGAAAAAGTGAGGTTAAGTTACTGACAACACCTATGGTAAGGTAGAACCGCTGAGAGTCACTTTTAAAATTCTTGACGTTTCCAAACAATTTAATTTTTAAATTTACTCACAAACTCACACACACATTTTCATTTTCAATCTCAAGCAACAACAATTTCGAACAATTTCAATTTTTTATTATCACTTTTATATGATTTTAAAATGTTGGCAAACTTCAAAAAAAAATCATGGCCGACAAATTGAGAGAACGGTTCTACCTTGGTTTCAAGTTCTCTAAACATTTATTTAAGCTTTTTTTTATAAATATACCTACAATAATACGACACTGTTGTGAATCCCTCACATGATTCACCGGCCCTTTTGTTTATTGTCTTTATTTATCAACAATCAACATGCTAAATTCTAAGCGGGTATTGCTCAAATCGATTGGTAACAAAAAACCAATTCGCATTTCTTATGGGCTTGCAACAACGCCTTTTGGTGATATAGTTTTGGGGTTTCTAAAGGACTCGGGCGGCGATGCAATTTGCTACCTACACTTTGCGGAAAGTTCATCTGGACATAAAGGCAAAGAAAATAAAATTAGTAATTATGGAATAGCACTTCAGGAACGTTGGCCAAAAGCATTACTTTCAGAAGACATAACTCACGCGCAAAACCTAGCCGATAAAATATTCAATGATGAAGAAACTATCCTAAATGTGGTGATGGATGGCACCCCCTTTCAAGAGAGGGTATGGGAAGAACTACTGAAAATACCTTCCGGTCAAACATGTACATACGGAGACATCGCTGAGCGCATCGGAAAACCAAAAGCTGTGCGCGCGGTGGGTACTGCTGTAGGCAGTAATGAAGTATCTATAGTTATACCTTGTCATCGCGTAGTGTCGAAGAATGGTGATATTAAGTATGGAGGTGGCAGAGAACGAAAAATTCGTTTGATAAAATACGAAAGTGGAAAGTAGTTTTCTATTCCATTAAAAACAAATCAGTATTTTTCGTTTAATAAAATTCTTTGAAAATGTTGTTGAAGATATGGAGGCTTGGGTCAGTGTTTCCACAGTGTTTTTTTCTTTCAGATATAGATAAATCGGTAACTAAATAATCACGGTTATCACTGAATCCATCGTAGTTCTATTTTTCGTGAAATCTACGAAAATGCCTATCACTGAATTCGAATAGCTATGAACGAACATATAGTAGATTTCACGAAAATCTGGCTGCGATAGATTCCGCGATAGCCCAGAATATCTTCAATAGACAAATAGATGTGGAACCATCACCCCTATTGCGAGTGTCGAGTAGTAGTAGATAAACGACAACTGTTTGTTTGTAGAAGGATGATCGACCAAAAACTATTCACACTCACTTATTGAACGAGAAAACAACATTCAAAATACCATGAAAAGGCAATAATCCGACCGACTAATAGTCGGTCATGATTTTTGTTCTGACGTTTGCAAGCATTTTAAAATCACATACAATTGAAAATAAAAATAATTACAATTGGCCAACGTCAGACTTCCTCTCGATGGTTTTAGCTTCCCTGCAAACCAAAGAAATCTTTAGGAGTATCTCATTTCTGTAACGATTTTTTTTTACGAATATTTATAGAAATTTATATGAAGTGGTTGAACTCGTACGGAAATTTCTGTACGAAAAATAAAGAAAATTCTGAAAAAATTCTGCAAGAAATTCTTCAGATAGCAGTATTATTTTCATTGCTTTACCGATTTTCTTCCGAAATTTCGTAAAAGAGTCGAAGTGTACACAGTTTATTTCATTTTAGAAAATTCGGCAAAAAATCGGGTGAGATCTTTATACATGTACATATGCATATGTATATGGCAACATTCATCTTTATTTTTTTATATTGGCACAAAGTGCTGCCTCATAACTTGGATCATATATTACTCCTTAAAGATTCATACAAGTCAAATATTTGCTTGTTTTTAACGCTCGTATTTATTACTCACCTAGGACTCCTTTCGGACTCTGAATATGTTTGTGGGGTATGATTGAGCTTTTTCTGAGTGTATTTCTGGGGCTAAGACTCAATCCATCTTACTACATTCAATGAACCCGAATTGCTACGAACGTATGCATTAAAATTGTATGCTACGTTCGTAACTAATCCTGATTAATATGGAATTAGAGAAGCCGTCATAAGGTGTATTAGTGGTAAAATAAGTATTCTAACGCCAACCATTAGGTATAAATGAATTCAAATCATAATACGTTATTTCTCTTTTGTTATTTATCAAGTTTTTCATAATGCGAATGAAAGACAATATTCTTATTTAAACATTTTATTCCATGTAAATGCATTTCGTCGCATGGGTAAAAGATTGTCGTAAGCGCAATTTTGACGATTTTTAGTTATAGATGCAGTTATATATTTTGAAATAAGGCCTTTTGATTGGTGTTATCAGTTTTTAGATATCTCCTCTAGTTTCCGAGATATTGACTACAATTACTTCGATAATTTAGTTAAAATTTAGTTAGTGATGCAGTCATATTAAACTAATCAATATCTTGAAAATGGCGTTCTCCATTTTTGGATATCTTCTTTAGTTTCCGAGATTGAGTAAAAAGTGTCGTTAATTTAGTAGAAATTTTGATCACATTTTGTCGTATTTCAAACAATGTGGCTGTTAAATTGTGGGCAAATGACGCTTACGACAAAATTTTACTAAAGAAAATCCTTCATAAACTCAAAACGAATTAACAATAAACATTAAAAACTAAATAATTTAAGAATTTTGTGAACTAGTAACATTTTCAGAGACTTTGGAGAAAATCTATCTTCGCGTTTTTGAAAAATTTCATTCCAAACTTCAATCGCGATTTCCCACAACCTGCCGAAATTAACATACGACAATCTTTGACCCTGGCGACGAATTGGAAAATATTATATTTATGCATATATGTATTGTATGTATTTAATATGACGATGTATGTATATGTATTACTTGTTCAAATTATAGAAAACATATTCATAAAGTGTTGTGCGATAAAAAAATACAAAGTTTTTTATATTAAATTCCATTGCGATGTTCGGGAGACATAATTATATGACACAATTTTACTCTAATCCGCCAACGAGATGTTTTAGTTGGTATGGGTTGATTTACGCAAACTTTTTTACCGGTACAGAAAAATTAAGTTCAGCTAATTTAGAAGTTATTTTTTTTTATCGCACATTACAGTATTACATATGTATACACTTGAATCAACAGTAATCCATCCTAAGATAAAAATGACTCAATTTGATTGGTTGCAAGTCTATCGAGCGTAAACTGGCTAGCAATCTAAACATATAGTACTTAAAAATATGAAATTAATTAACCTTAAATTGTGTTTTACTTCTTTTCCCTCCCTGTTCTAATCGATACAAACCAATTACAAATTAACTCAATAGCTGGTTGCCTAGCTAAATATATTATGTTTATCATTTTACGATTATTATATTTAAGGCTGATTAAATATTGCTTAAACCTAGCCTGAGACTAAATTAACTATCCATTAACCCTGTTACAAGTCGTTGGGAACATGTATAAGAAACAATATACATAAAATAAAAAATAGTTTTTTATAAACGTTAAATCACAAAATCTATTCCATTAAAGCCATTTTACAAAACTTAACTCAATCATATCGAAAAAGGTTACATACAAATCGAGTTTTTCGTTTTCAAAAGCAGTTAACAAAAACTGGACTCATGTCGTTTTATGTGTAAACCACACATTTATCCCCCCAACGATTTATAACAGCGGCCGTATTAAAAATGAGGCAAAATATTTAACAAAACTAGCAATTTTACGACTACTTTTAGGCTCATTAATCAGTTCTAGTGTTAAAACTGCCGATAAATACATATGTGTTTTACGATGCATAAATTATTCAGAGCTTACAATTTATGATAGCGTTCAACATCGGCTGTGCGGAAACTGGTCTTGCAAATACACATTTCGTCCTTCGTCAATTGTACAAGACATGAACGACATACGAGATGCTTACATGTTAATATTTCATATGAGAATTCTTCTGTTTTACAAAGTATACAAGTATCAGGCTTTGTTTCCAGGGGCGTGCAAGTGTAGCGCGTAACATTTCTTAATGCTACTTGTATAGCGTGGTCGATGCCTGTTGCAATTGTGGTGGAAGACGAAGTAGATGACGCTGTTGCTACTCCCACAGAAGATGGTATTGACTTTGTCGAAAAAGATAACGAAGTGCAAGATGATGTTTGTGTTGCTGTGGAAGTGTGTAGTGTTGCTTCTGAGCGATATGCCGTCGAATCGCTAAGTCTAAGCCGTTTCGCTGGAAGTGTTGGCGATGACAATGTCGCTGTTGCCGAAGCTTGCGATGAAGACTTGTAGAATGCCGCTGACAGAGATGAGTAGGTTCCAGCTGTTGAACTGTGGCGTTGACACAAACTTGCAAACTGTGACGCGTGCCGATTTTTGCTACGCCTTACAAAAGAACTTCCTAAAGAACGTGGCACTGTTTTGAAGTGTTCGGAATTTTCCATAAGGAACTTTTCTATGCGAGCTTTAAGAGCGAGGTTAAGGATTGCTTTACGATGAGAGGTAAATTCAAGGCCAGTAAATGGATCCGATGGCAGTCGACCCCACTT